CGTTACCAATGCTCTGATCAGTCTTTAATGAAATGATAGATATAGATATGTCGATACAGATATATTCAGTAATTATGATTGAAAACAAATGGTATCGCGACTTTTTGGTCGCCCTGTGCGCGCGTATTGTCTGCGTACGAGTGTCTGTCTGTCTGTCTGTGTGTGTGTGTTTGTGTATGAGTGTCTGTGTATGAGTGTCTGTCTGTGTGTGTGCGTGTGCGTGTGTCTGCATATGAGTACGTGTGTGCGTGTGTTTAAAGCACTTTGAGACGTCTAGAAGCCGTGATAAGGCGCTGTATCAAATGCAAGGACGATTATGATTATTATTATTATTATACATATACAGTTTATAAAGTTGCTTTGGTGCATAGTCTTGACGTTGACTCTCTCCTCTCCCCTCTCCCCCCCCCCCCCCCCCCCCCGCGCTGCCCCCCTCCCCGATCGCAAAGCGCTTTTCGAAAGCGACGGAGGGGAGGTTGACTAATTTTTTATTCTTGTAATAAATAATTCTACGTATTTCCCAAACACCCCCCCCCCCCCCCCCCACACCCCAACCCCCGCCCCCACTTTCCCGTACTGCTTTGAACGCTGCATCACATCAGGGAATGACACATTATTTTTCAAGAGGGCAGGAGGTGGAGCTCAGGGAATTTCCAATTAAGTCACCCAAGTTTCCTGGTTGTTAAAGATGAGAGAGAGATGAGAAAAATACAACGCAATCGCCACACTCACCTAACCCCCCCCCCACCTCCCCTCCCTCCCGCCCCACCCACCACCCGAACACACAGACGGACACCCCCCCACACACACACGCGCGCGCGTGCACACCACCCCCCACCCACCCACGCGCACACACGACCCACACACATACAGACCCCCCACCACACACACACACACACACACACACACACACACACACACAGAACCCCCACCCCCCCCCAACGCAAACACACACACGCACAGAATCCCCCCTCCCACACACACACAGACCCCATCCACCCATCCACACACACTACCCACACCCACACAGACCCCCCCACCACTGCCCCCATCCTCGCACACGCACACAGACACCCACTCTCACAAACTGCACTCACACTCGCACTTGATTTAGGGGTTAAAAGGAGTCGTACAACCATCCCTTCCGTTTGCCCCTGGATTTTAAAGAGAGGAGAGAGGGGGCGGTGGTGGTGGGGGGGAGGAAACAACACAACACAGACAAACACAGACAGACACATACAAACACTTGATTTAGGGGTTAAAATGAGTTGTGTAACTCTTCCTTTTATTTGCCTCTCTCTCTCTCTCTCTCTCGCTCTCGCTCTCTCTCTCCAGGGAGGTGGGTTGCCAATTTACTCCAGTACAGTATAGTTGGGGGGGGGGGGGACAGTCTTACATAAGCTGTCAGATCCAAAGGTTGAAATCGCTGGGGAGGAAAAAAATGCTATTTATATATATTTTTCTTAAAAAAAATCTCAATATACATTGAAAAGAAAAGTAAAAGTAATTCGGTCACTGAGGTTAAGCGTTATTGTGAAGGTACGTAACTCGCTTTGAAATACTCTCGTGTTATTACTGACTGTTTTCACCCTCTCATGTTCATTTCCTGCATTTTATTGACATTACCCTGTGCCCGAGCCTGCTGTTAGTTAGTGCTTTGCTAACCTGTTCCAATGGGGGGGGGTCACTGAAACTGTGGGACTGTTTTTTTTTGTGTGTGCGTGTGTGTGCGTGTCTGCGTAAAAAATGTTTTTTCTCTCTCTAAATGTGTGTGTCGCTTCGAAAAGAAAATAACATGACATTAAATCACATTAAACGAGCAACTGAGGCACAGTTCACGTATGAGGCTGAACCAGATTTAGCTTTGGCAGTAGTTTGTGTGTGCGCGTGCGTGCGCGCGCGTGTGCGTGCGTGTGTGTATGGGAGGGAGGTATCAAATTATGAACTGCGTAGCTTGGTGCTTAAGAGGGAGGAAGAGAGAGAGAGAGAGAGAGAGAAGGGGAGGAGAGTGCTTAAAGAAGGAGGGAGAGACAGCGACAGAGAGAGAGAGAGAGAGAGAGAAAATGGGAGGAGAGAGGTTAAGTAGCGTAATTTTGGCGTTCGTGAGCAAAGCAACAGCAACAACAACAACAACAACAAGCAAATCGTCCCCCCCCCCTTAAGGTGGCGTTTCATTTTGTTTCATTAGCTGGCTGGCAGGGGTTCTCTATGGATGTGTGTCTCAATACCTTGCATAGGTTGCAGACTCCTCCACTGTCGCACCTTTCGTTTAATGGGAACAACGGCTCTCTTGGATAGAATTACATAATAGACTTACATAATATCGACAGCAACGAAACGGGTCATTCAGTCCCCCCCCCCCCCCCCCACCACCACCAACACCACCACCGCCCCCCGCGAGGTCCTTGCAAAGCGTCCCGAGATGTTGCCCTATGTGACTACACGATAGTAATAATAATTCTTGCATTCGATCTAGCGCCTTATCGCGTCGTTGAGACGTCTCAAAGCGTCTAAACGCAAGCTGTACTGCATGTTAAAACAAGAAGATAATAATAGTTCACATTTAGGGTAGATTTTCTTTCCTTTGTCCCACTGGCTCCTCTAAGCGCTCCCGGATGTTATCAGGCGTAAAGGGTGCTATATAACTGCATGTCGTCGTCGTCGTCGTCGTTGCTGTTGCTGTTGCTCAAACAAAAAGGACCTCCTTCCCCCAAACTTGTGATTTCCTTGCGAAAATCACTCCGCGTGATCTCTGTTGGAAAAAGACTGGGTTAATCGGGCCATTTATGATTGGTAAACTCTTCCTTAATTGATAGGGACAAATGCCAGGGTATAAGTTATTCAGCATTTGCAAACTGGATTGGGTCAACTTGCAACGGTGTTCGCACGAGGTTCAAGACTCGTGCAAGTATGTATCGCAAGGAAAAGCCCTAACATGTGGGGAGGTCCTAAGCTGGACGAACAGCGGTCAAGCTTGCCGGACAGCGATATCAGTGGCAAGCTATGTGGTTTTAGTTGGTTAGACCCCCAGAGATTACCCCAATTCACACTCTGGGGGTCCTCAAGCCTTGGCTCTTCCCAACCTGTGCCTAAGACTCACAAATCCCAAGTCTGGGATAAATAGTTGGCCATTTATGCTCCCTGTTCCATTTATTTCTTCTGAGACCGTCATCTTGGAGCTTGCAGGCCGAAAGCGTTTCAAACGCAGAGAGGCTGAAATCTGCACACGGTATCCAGTTGGTGAGACATCTCAACGACGTAATAAGGCGCTAAGTCGAATGCTATTATTATTATTATTATAACTTGGCTTGAAATCTGGAACTCTCTTCCCCCAAAAGGCTGAGGATGCCTAATCCATTAACATTTTCCAGGCTGAGGTGGATGGACTTTTGTTCGGTCAGGGTATCAGGGGATATGGGGCAAAGGCCGGTAATTGGGAGTTGAGGTATGGATCAG